ACCTGATTCAATCATCAGCGCGCATACGCCGCCGAGTCCTCATATGGGCGTGCCGTCCCCGAGCCTCTCAGCGCTCACGACACGATCGGAAAGATGTGAATGGCCAATATGTCTCATTGCATTGCCCATACGAGCCCCTGCTTTGCAGATCGATTGGCAGTCACCGTGGAGCACAGCGCTGGAGCAAAGCTGGGGGGGGGGGGTTGTGCTTCTCTTCGCTCGGCTCGGCCAACCACGAGGCCCAACAACCTGGAAAGAATTCCAATCGATCGATGCAAAAGGATGGCCTTGAACTCGCTGGATTGTGTGCTTCGTTGAAACTTGACGGGTTGAGAAGCCCTAAGTGCTTCCTCCAAGCCTAGGACCCGTTGAGCGAAAAGCAAATTTCAACTCGTGTCTCGGCGCGCCTTACAGCTAAATGCCCGTTACTGCAGGTTCTGAACCATCCTGACTTCTGCATGAGCTACGCAGACGTACGTCTCTCGCAGAGCGGAACGATGTGCCTGACATAGGGGTGCAGCCGACACTGCGCAGCGCGGTAGGAGAGACTTCCCGCAGCTCCGCGACCCTTGATGCCACCCCCCGAGTTGGTGGTCCCCTGTTCTTGCACAGACATGTCCATTTCGGTCAGCCAAAGACGACCACCCAGCAGCAATCCCACCCACACCTTTTACCCCTGGCACACCACCCCGCAACACGCCTCCACCACCACAAATCACAATCACCACAATCACCACCACCACCACAGACTTCTGCTCAGCTAGCCTGGCGTGCCTGGGCGTCATAAAGGTGTCTTCATCTACGGATATTAGTCTCTACCAGACGGCGCACTAGATGAACCAGCACACTATAGTGGCTCTGTAGCCGCGGACCGGTGACATCCGACCAAGTTTAACTCAGTACGAACCTCAATGCACTATCGAATAGGAAATTCCGCAAGTCCAGCGATGACATCGATGTTTGGATAAGGATAGGAAGGGTTCCAAAATCAATCCCATCAGTCACTGGCTCGGCCTACATGGCTCGTGTCAAGTCTGCCTGCCCCGCCTCCATGACCCGAGTGTCAGGCTGGCGATGAAATTTGGTAGTCTTGAAACTGCATTATACACAGCAGTTCCGTACAGCAAGCCGCATCGCCGGAATATCTGCACAAAGTGGAAGGCGGTTTGATCGACTGTACCCGTCAGATATCTGAGATCCTAGGAACCCATCTCATTGGCTCGAATTGAACTTATGGGCTGTCAAATTTCTGGATGATTAAATCTCGCAACCAAGTTGAGGCGTGAATTGAGTCGTTGCAGCTGCATATTCGGCAACCATTTAGACAAGGAACTGCTTTCACCTTCTTGATTAACCGTTCAGAACCCCAGCATTGCGCCTCAGCGTCGATAGCGCGCAGACCGTCCTGTCACATCTGCTGAATCCAAGACCTTCCAATGTCAGAAGTCACGGGTAAAGGTCCTAGCTTGGCACTGCCCTCTTGTGACAGCCTTCGGAGGAGCTTCTCGAACATACGGAAATGCGAAATGCCGCAAATATGTTGCTCGGCCGCGAATTTGAGTCCAGACAACGAACGGAACATTAGCCTACGTTCAAAAGGACAATGCCGAATTTTCGACATTTCCGTCATTTCATTATGACAACCAACATGGCGCCGGTCAATCTCTAGGTTGTTTGGAACATCTTATGCATCGACAAACCCCTTGCCAGGATCAAATTGGTGCGCTGAGCAGCATCACTCAATTCTGCTGCCAACGGGCACCAGCTTCATTTCCGTCTCAGACGAAGGGCCTCTTAGGAAATTTCGAGGTCTTCATGAGTACGGCGTAGTAGAAGGGCCACCATCTCAATCAGGGAGTCGACTCTTTCTGGAAAGGTTGATGATCCGGACCCCTCGGGGAAGAGGCTTGACCACATCGTCGGGTCCTGAAGCCGAATCATTGTCATCGCGAGAGCCCCGCTGTATGCATGCTCAATGTAACAGCTACCATGGTCCACGAGCCTAGCCCTTGCCGACAAGAAAAAGAATTTTCTAGAGCGGGCAAGCCAATGACCAGCATTGTTTCGCTGCTTGCACCGACTTCAGGATAAGGAATCCCATCCTATCGTCGCAGTAGAGGAGGGCATACGCGGCTCACCTGTGACGTCGGTACTAGATAATGGAACGGCAACGGATGACCGACAACTTCCCTTGGACCTACGAGGTATGGTCTACCGAATCAATGGAGGATTACGCCACGACGCCCAACGCCCGACGCCCGACTACAATCACAGCATGGCCGGCTAGGCTCCAACAAGATCGTCGGCGAGAAAGCCCGGAGCCGGACCAGATCGCCAAGGTAGCTCGGGGCGGGTTGGCTGGCAGACGGCGTCCACCACGGTCGATCCAAGTGCGAAAGGCATGGCTCCTGTTGCGATAGAAACATTGATTGAGTCTTATCCATTGGCTGCAGGCATCTATCACCGGACACTGAGGATACTGAGGACCCTGAATGAACACGATCATGACACTAGAGCCGGCTGTGATACCTACCGTCGATGGAATACGTCGCCGTGGTCCACTCCGAACCGCCAAGGCCCGTCGGGGTTTTAGGTCGTTCCCCTTGCAATGAGACTCGGGTGACAGTGAGAAGACACGCACGAATAGACAACGGAGTCCCCCGGGCAAAATACACGGAATAAGAGGCACCTATCGAAGCCTGAAGGAATCTTGGAGGGAAAAACCACTCAGATCCGTGGGAGGCGTACTCAGCGCCGACCGAGCGGGTCCGGCACCGGGCGACCAGCAGTTTTCGGGAGGTCGCTAAAGGCGGGCGGAACGGGAAACTAGCCCCATTTGGCCAGCCTCCCGAAATGGTAATCCAGGGGCAGCGATGCGTTGAAGCTACGCCGCACTCCGCATGCCTGGTGGCCGAGTGGTGGCCGACCAAGGACGCGTCGGCCTGTCTTGAAGCTTCTAGGGCGCACCTTGAAGAAATCCGTCAACGGCTGTCAGTCGCGGGTAGTCGTTTACCTACACTAACGTGGTGCTAACAGTACGAGCGCGAGGTGCTTACCATAGTATGCTACAGAGTAGAGGCGATGGATGGATTCACACCTTTCCCAGGGCGTCCCGTCAGTGAACCCAAGCCAAGATCTCTCTTCCCCTCATCAATGCGTGACGACACATCCCGATATCAAGAGCTACGCTTGTAAGCACGCGTTCGTCACGGCAGGCCCACCGGCTCACTCGCATAGGCCCACCGTCCACCAAGCAAGCCATGGAGCCTGTCCTCTCCGATCTTGAGTTCTCAGAAAAGGTAACGAAGCACACAAGGGGAATGGCTTCCGCTCCCCGGGTCCGGATGCCACCCACATGGCGTGCCTGTGAGCACGTAGTGTACAGTGCAGCGTGTCATAGGAAGCGAGACGTTCCATCGAGACTGGAACCCGTCATGCCATCTTCTCTCGTCAGCCGCAAGATAGCATCGAAGAAGAGAAAACGACTGGTCGCCTTGCGAGACCTCAAGAGGCAATTCTTGTCGGGCCAGGCGCATTGCATATACCTATGGGAGCGGAAAGGCCTCGCCGCGCCGGGAGAATGTCCATTTTCCAACGACGGCAGGGTGTTATTCAGGCAGCCTCAAGGACGTGATTCGACCTCGACCGAGTTTTTCCCAGCATGCAGCCCATGGCTCACATCCGATGGGGGTCAGTTACAGCATGCGGATGGAAGTATCCGTACCAGTCTTCACTGGCGCACAAGAAAGCAACAGCAGACGGCCCCTCTTTGGGCCGCAATATTTCAACGTGCCCTTGAACCAAATGCCGCTCGGGGACTCGGAGCAGTGTAAACCTTATCAACTGTCAAAATTTTGAGAGCGGAGGCATTTACGATTGATTCGGACAAAAGAAAAAAGGCTCGTCCACTTTTCCAAGGCACCTTATCCACGTCGCGCCCCGGGAACATGATCGCATCCTGGGCAGACTTTGCAAAGACCAGGACTAGGTGCCTTTCCACCACGTTCATCCCATCCACTTCTCCACTAGATTTTTGCTCTTACCCCTGGCGCTCCAAAGAACTTTTGGGTCTTTGCCCCCATCCTCGAAACCTCGAAAACCAACGGACCAACGGTTCCACTACCTTCCAAAAGAAACAAAGTAACAATGTGTCAGACTGGCCAGGGCACGAGCTCGTACCCTTGATTTGGTAATTCTGGCCAATGGGTCGCGCTGATTGTTGAACTGTTTGCCTGTCAAAATACCAAATTGAAAAGGGAGCCAGGAAGCTTGCCCCCGCGAAACGACTTCATCAAGCAGGGCTTTGCTCAACGCGATGCTCTTTTTGGGTCTCAGCCCATGGCGGGCCTCGACTCGAATCCACAGCGCAGGCGGACAGGCAGAATATACCTTGTGGGTTGGAACCGAGCACACGGCTATCCTCCCTCAAATATATGAACCTCTGGTCAAAGAGGCGACGTTAGTGGTACGATGACGACGATAAGAGCCAAACTTCACTGCAAAATTCGACGTCTATTCAGGAGCTCACATGAAACACTGAACTGACAGATATGGGCTGCCACCTCCACGCTCCTGGCTCGGGGTGCTGGAGCAGCTTCTATCTGGGACGAAGAAACCCGAAACCCTTTGTGCAATTGATCTTGACCGACCGACCTTCAGAAGAGTCTTCATACGGATTGGATGCCAAGGCATGACCCACCACACGATTTTGCCATTTAGCCTTCATTTGGTCCTCCTCGAAAACCTCACACCCACAACTGTGAACTCCATGGAATCCTTCAAACATCAGGATGTGTATGCATCCTCAGATGCAGGCACAAGTCGCATCGAGGCCGCGGGCCGTAGGTGTGGTTGGTCAAAGTAACGTGAAGGGTGTGTAAGATGCATCTTGGCATCGCGGGTACATGCCATCCGCTCGCAGATGCTTACTGAGGAGGTTGTGGGAATCGCATCACTATCCATCCCCTCTTCCACGAGGCCGGATTGGGGGCCCCTTTCTCTTTTTTTTTTTTTTTTTTTGGCACTTGCTATGCAACGATCTATCGGTCTCCGCATGCCGTCATGGTTGTTCTCTATTGTTTCACGAAGCCTGGCCCCCCGGAGTTGTGCCTTGGGAGTGGAATCTCCTTCGGAGGATCAGACAAGAAAGTCCCCTCTTTGTAAATCGCCCAGCCTTCTTTCTCATGGTTCATGGCTCGCCAGGACGGTGCTCAAGCCTCAAGAAGACCGACGGACATGGGAATTGGCCGGTCCGATTGAATCCTCCAGTGGGCCAACTCCTGGTAAGGAAAGGCGCAACGGGGTCTCTTCTCAATTCTCACACCGGGAGCCTTGCGTGCCTGGGGAAGCGCCGGTCGACTTTCTACAAGGAGACATGGTATGACTTATGGGAGACGACCATCAAGGGTCGCGATGCGGAGAAGAGCGATGAGGCTTGCGGGAGCCCGCGGGAGCTCATTTCACGAATGATTTCCCCGATTCTGCAGAGGGGCCTGGAAGAGGAGAAGCTGACCGGTCTCTGGTCTTAGTTCGCGCGGCACAGCTCGTCAACGCGACGCACCTGCTTTTCCATGTACATGCGGTTGGAATCAACAATATGCAGGCCAAGAAATCTATACAGGACTCAGGAGGCCCAGGCCGAGGATGGCGTTCGCTAAGAAAGCCCAGAGGCAGAAAGGGAGGGTAGGAAAGTGAAGGGTAGCGGACGACCACAGACACCCATGAGCTGTTTTGCCTTACGGTAATATGCCACCCCGGATTCCTCCAACAGTCGATGTTGGGAGAATTTATCCCACTCGCAAGCCGTCTGACAATTCATTTCGCGAAATCAATCCGCTTGTGGACTGTGCGTCTGGACGGCACAGATGAGGCTAATGATGAGCGGGTTAGCGTCGCGACTATTGACATGACCCTCGCTGCAAATCTACCAGCAATTTGGAAAAAAGCGAAGCCCCAGGGGCCTCAGCGATGAGGATTTTGTCCCAGAGGAGGTCTGGATACGACGTTGGGGTTCCGTTCAGTGGGACTATCCGTCTTTGTGATCGACATAACTGCTCCGCCGTGGTGGGTGGAAGGAGAGGGATAAGAACAAACAACAGATTTGGGGTCCGATGATCCGACGATGGAGTTCACACGTTCGTCCCCGTTTTCTAGTGTGCTCGTACTACGGGCATTTCTTTCTTTTTTCAGTCGTCGCTCTTTTTCGTTTGAACTCCCGAATCCGTATCTGTACCTAACGAGAAAAACGGCGCACCGGGTTCAAACAACGAAATAATCCACACTGGATGAAACCTCTAGAAGGACCGTCGAAGAGGTCTAGCTGTTTGACTAGAACTGAGACATTACTAACTTTGGCCTAGAGCTAACTTGCTGGCGTCAGGTAGCGTCGTATCGCGCCTTCTGTCAGAGGGCCTTCCACCCGGCGGTATTTCGTGCTCGTAGGGCAATGATCAACAGTTTGATGGCCCTTTTTTGGTTTGGTCATTCGAGGCTTGATTTTGTTTTTTTCTGGTTCTGTCTAGTCTATCGAACCAACAAGTGGAGGGAGAAGTCTTTACACTTTCCGAGCGATTCCGATACCACGTCGGCATTACTCTGTACACGCAAGGCTTTTTGCTTCGATGGCATGTCTCACTATCTTTTGCTTCTAGCGCTTCTCGCGGGGCAAAGGCGGGGTGAGAGTTCTGTCTAATTTCTGATCTTGACTAGAGGGGGGTGTAACGGGGTTCGATATTTGCTATACACCCTCTCAGACATCTCGGAGGGGAGGCCAGAAAATGCCTGACTTGCTGACCGGCCGTTGTATCGATTCAACTCATTCGAGCCGGGTCTGACTGCGAACCAGCGGTGTCAATTCGGTATTGACACCCACAACGGTTGTGCGTCGCTCGAATGTCTCAGTTTCATTGTCTCAGTTGCGCATCGCCGAGGTTGGGAAATCTTGGGGGAGGGTGCCTGAGGCGGGTTTTGGTCTTGTGAATCAGCGTTCACGAGGTCCCGAGGGCATTGTCGCATTCGAATCCTCGGCCGTACGGTGAGGGTTGGAGTTGCCGGCCAAGCTCACAGCGTACACAGATGCCGTATTCTCATGGGATGAATGAGGTCTAGTTTGCGAACGAAGCCTTCTCGATCCCTCTGCCGATTGCTTCAGTAGGAAAAGGGGGGTTGATGTTCAGTCTTGGTTGAAACCGAGGCAGACGGTGCTGTGCGTTGGGGGGGGGGGGGGGAAGATCTCCAAGTGTTGATCATGGGCTTGTCGATGTGCGGGGTTCGCGCAGGTGGCCTCGTGGCTTTTCGTTCCTCCAATGATTGGCATCCGCAAGAATTGCTGCCTCGGTTGACGATGATGATGTTCCTTGGGCTCTTCATCTTATGATATTTACCAATTTGCAGCAGCGCGGACGTTAGATGGGGTGGGCTGGAGAAGAGCCGGCTTGCAGACTACCGAGCTGGGGAGCTTCTTTCTCGAGGAGGTGTGTTTTTCCCGAAGGGAAGAACGGGTACATGGCGGACCGAGCAGTCGGTCCTTTCTTCGTCGACTACCGTCCTAGTTCAGCCTTTTTTCCGGGTGGGAAATTGACCGGAGAGGGTCTATTGCCTTGAAACTCTTTTGGTCTGGTCGTTGATGACGTCGATGAGGATCTTCATAATTTGATGGCTCCCTCCACCCCCGAAGATGTTGCGGTGGTGTTCGCGTTATTGATAACTTGACGCGTCGGCCGTTGCTTGGTGACAATTCTTACTGTTTAGTCGGTTTCTATGCATGAGGTAGAGACCACGTCGCAGCCGGGGCGTGAGCCTTTGGAGGAGACCTCGTGTACAGCTTCGAGGTGTCTCTGATGGTTCCCAGGTCGGGAGGTCAGGGGTTAATGGGACACGCTTCCAGGTTCGTGAGCGGATGTTTAGTAACTGGTGGGCTCAGAAACGGGTCCATTGACGGGATTGTTTGGTGCTCAGACTTCGTAGAAAGACGTATCGAGCAGGTTATTCATAGATTTCAGGAAGGGTATCGATGGCATCTGGAAGCATCTTGGTGCAATTCAGGTGGGTACGCATAGTGTGAAAGGATAGGTACCAGTATACAGCCTTGGTCAAGGATGGTCGTACTATCTAGCATGCTGCTGTTTGCATGTCAAACCACGCTTGCTTTAGTTGCAGAGCCGGGAATAATACATCTCTCCATACAAGCTTCATAGCCTCGCGTTGGTGGACAAGCTGTATGTTACTCTTGATGCCCCACCCCCCTCTCTCTCCCTCTCTTTCACTCTCTCTGTCTGCAGTCATCGGTTCCAACTCACGGGACCAATGCAATATATGTTGTCATATGTCAAAGGACCTTGGTGTTCTTCGTGTGACAGTTGAGTAAAACAGCTAGTTCACGGTAGGCGATTATGAGCCCCTAAAATAGATGTGAAACCCCAGATTTCTATAGTTATTTCTGGAACCATCGTCAGACTCCTTGATGACAACGTTCGCTGCGATTTACGTTATGGCAATTCCTCTATTCTATGAAGTAGTTAACTGCCTTCATGGCCTTTCCTCCGCTCGCCACCGAGCGTCCGTTCCATCTGCTCGGGTCATCATTTCAGTGTACGGATGAGAGTCTAACCTGAGCTTTTACAGGAAGAAGTCGGATTATCTTGGGGGTTTCTACTAGAGAATCCCATAAATAATCCCTACAGAGCTTTGCTATAACTCCGCTCATGACTTTTGCCTTGGCTGCCGTTGTAAACTAGACATAGGCCCGGGGAATATGAAATTGATCCCATGGAATAGGACCTCGAGGTCTCATCTTTGCTTCTTTCTTGTGGAATATTCGTTGGGTAATACCGTCCGGGCGACAGAGAAGGGTGTTGGCCCGCGTGGCTGTCACCACTCCCTCTTGATCTCTCACATTGGGAAGGATCAATGCCGCAGACCCTGCCTCGATCCTCGGTGTCAACCTAATGCCACCTTTCTGCCCGGCCGACCCAGACTCACTTTTCTTTCCTCTCACGTCATATGCAGCCACATCACAATAGTGAAGTTACCGACACTCAAAGTACCTTATCTTAGGTCAATTTATTTTGTAAGATCTTCACCAAGCACTTACTTTCTCGTACAAAATTCATCGCCAAGGAGTTGCTTTTGCCTTTTGGCTACGTTTTGCACCTAATTTCAAGTTGTCGAGACAGAAGGGTGGTGTCTAGGACTCTTTTGAAGGTTGTGTCAAAGGTTGGGAGAGGTGGGTGGTGATGTGAGACGGATGCGATGATGGGGCGACGCAGCAGGTATGCCATTTGAGGGCGCAGTAGGTTAAATGGCCCCTTCATCCAAGATCACAAGTCGGTTTCTTTTCAGCCAAGAGAGACGATACTGCCTCGGAGGTTGACCGTCTATCTTGGATCAGTCAGTGAGCTTATTGCCCCGGTTGCTGAGAGTCTGGCTGTCGAAGGCGGATATCAGCGATGAATGTCAAGGAAAAATCTGCATACTTACCTGTTTGACTGCTACAGAGACCGGGTCGCTCTCATAATGATGCTTCTTCATATTTAAAACTGTCAGGCCGTTGGCAAGTAGCCGCGATCCACTGAAACACGACGACCGCAGCAATGTGGCCTAGTCGATAGGGTCTAGGTTGATCTGGATGCTCCGTTCGCCACCGCTCATTTTGACTTTCCGAATTTACGAGAACGTTTCTGTGGCTAACTGAGCGGTAAGAAGACTCAAAAACCACATTTCTAATAAGGAGAGATTGCCAGTCATCTCCGAGTTAACTTGACTAATGCAGACTCCTATGACGAGGAGCACATCATCCTTTCGATGTAGCTGCACTTTCTGACAATGGGACGTCCTCGAGATGTTATGACAAAAATATTGAAGGCTGACGTACACGTCGAAGATTGGTAATGGCATACTATGGTTACAATTTTCGTTCGGACCCAGCAGACGTTGCATCGTGAAGTGAGATCAACCACCACGACAAGCACAATTGCTTACCAGGCGCTGCTTCCGTTAGTGAGAGTATAAGCCGCAAGGATATCATGCTCAAATCATTCGCCACCTGATATTCAACTCCCGCCCTCCACAAGTCCGTTGGCTACTCCATAATCTGCAGGAAAGGGGAGGTTAGAATGGATCCTACTAAGTCCTATGTGTTGATTGGTTATGACCGTTGCATATTAAGCTATTCAAAGAAGACCGGACACAGCAATCTCGAGTACGGTCCGGGCGATTCATTCTGCCATCTTCTTGTGTTAAGCGCAACGCCCAAGTTCATCTCCTTATTGGCAAAGCAATCAAAAGTCAGAGGCATGATGCATAGTATCACGTCACAGCCGAAGCACAATGGACTTGTTGACTGTGGAACGAGCGCAAAATGTCGCGATCAAATCACATAAACGTCATTTCTTCTGGAAGTCAGGACGGTTTGAACGAGGCGCAGCGAGGTTCTGGACAACGGATCGTTCTAAGAACAACCCCCCCCCCCCTCAAGAAAAGAAGTCAAAAGCTTGAGTGAGACTGATTTGAAGGAAGGGACAATGTAAAATGGAAAATCAAGAAAGTTTCTCTTTACTACTCAACGTAGAAAGATTGGTGGAAGTAGTTGATCTAGAGGTGCGAGTGAGGATGTGAAATCCCGATCGTGCCTAGGTTCCTGCCCGGCCTGAGGCTCATTATCACTGATGATATCAACAACCGTACCTACCTTACCTTACTTACCCAACAGAGAAATCCCTGACCTCCTTGAGGTACTTTCTCTTCTTCCCCACTCCTTTAAAAAGGCAACCACGACTACCTCATCTTTACCTGCAGCGGGGGAGGTGTTGAAAACCCACCGGAATCTTGTTTCTTTTTACGTTCGTCTTTTACTTGGGCCAACTCAAGTGCTGTGCTCATCAGCAAGGAAAAAAATTCTTCAAGAAAATGCCCGTCAGCAGAGAACTACGACCAGAGGTCAAGAAGGCGGCGGACGCAGCGAAGAAATGGTGTACTGAGACCGAGGCAAGTCTCAATCTGAATTTTTGATCATGACAATAAGAAAATTTCGAATTCATCATCTTTAGGCTGGCCGGGCCTGGATGAGGTACAAAGCTGAGATAGATGAGGCTTCGATGGCCAGAAATCGTGTCAGGCTCTGCACACGGGAGGACACTGATAAATAAGATGATGAAGAAGATAACGGAGAAGAAGATGAAGACGATAACGGCGAAGACGATGGAGACGAACACGACGATAGCAGCGATCACATGGAGTCGCCCGTCGCCGGAAACGACGACATGACAAATGACGACAACCCTCTTCCATCTCTCGAGTTGAAGGGCATCAAGCCCAGTGCTACACAGCCGGAGAGTCAGCGGACGTTGACAACCAACCATCAACCGACTGACCCAAAGGCTAACACCCTTCCGGCACGCAAACAAGATTCCGACGGCAACTGACGAACACGACGACTGACAGAGTGGACTTCAGCAAGGGGAGATCAGGATAGTAGTCGCTATACTTCCGGTAACGAGTTAGATCACACCAAAGACGATAGAGGAGATCTCGGCAAGATCATGGCCTTGGAGCATGCCTTTCGAGGCAAATGGATAACCAACTCCGAGACATTGAAGTGGAAGTGGAAGTCGGGATCCAGAAAAGGGAGAAGAGGCGTAAAGACAACAGAGCGAGCGCGTGCAAAGAGAACAAATGTGGGAGAGGCAGACATGTCACTTAAAAGACTACATTCTGCGCCGTGTAGGACTTAGAACCTCTACACGTTATCGGAGAGGATCCGGTCCTTTCTGATTAGATGGGATCTTAGCATAGAAGGCTCAAATAACATGGTCTCTCTAGGAAAATGCAACGCAAGAATCAACGAGGAGTGAAAGCATGTGCTACCAAAAAGGTCAAGATCCAAACATTTAGACAGATGGGTGTCTATTCTATTAACGAGCGCAGGGGGAGGTGTGTGAACCTCAAGCCCTGTTGTCTAGCTTTTTTGCCCTATTAAGTATTCTACTCTCTAATCTATATGCCGACATGGGTTGTGGACAGACAGAACCATGGCAATGTAAAAGTATTACTCCAATGGCTGGCCCGGCCGCCGAGCCGACTACCATTTTCAATGTCTTGGTAACGGGGGCGCTCCTTTCCCTCGGCGTGGCCAACCCGTGACTACTGAGCGGGGATCGTGCTACTTTGTTGAAAATAGCAGTGTCCCTGTCCGGCTCTGCGAGGCGTTCAAAGTTTCTAGGGCTGACGAACGTCAATATGCTGGCAGCTTATCCGCCTTCATCCTCAGGGAAAGACGACCCTGGGATGATGTCCTAAGCTATCTGAACCGACGTAAGATTGCCAGCGTTGACATTGATGCTCGGGCTACCATAACCCAACATGACGGGTCTGGAGCCGGCGAGGCGTCGGATTGACTGACACTTGATGGCGCCCACTGCTATCCGGAGTAAGGCCGGAAGATATGGCCCTTTTGAGCGGCAGACAAACGCAACATACCCCGGTGAGAGATTATCCCCGAGAAGTAGGATGAAGTATGACCGCGAGTGAGGCAAGTTTTTCCGCGATCGTATTACAGCAGAATACGACCAACGGATCGAAGCAAGCCCCGAGTCAAACGCGGCGTACAATTCACGCCTCAACCTCAAAAGACGGAACACTCTCCCTGCGCCTGCCGGAAGGCATTCGCAAAGAAGGACTGCATCGCCGTGTAGTGAAACAAGATGCCGCCGAGAACGGCCAAATGCCACAAGTTGTGGCTTCCGCCAATGTAGTCAAACATGCCCGGGCACCAACGTTCGGGAATCTTGCTGGCGTATACAAAAGCGCCGAGCAGGTAGACAAAGATACTCTTTGCAATCGGCGTGTAAAATTCCCAGACAAAGTCGGGCCCGTGGGAAAAGTAGAGCTGCAAGATTGGCAGAAACCCCGTTGCACCAAGGCCGCAGAAGAAGGCGACGCGGGCCCATGCCATCTCGGCTCCGTTAAAGGTCGGGTGCCATGGGAGGATGACGCCGCCGATGCCGAGGACTGCCGTCGTGCCCATGTACAACCAGCGGCTGACGGGATCGCAGTAGAAGGCCGTGTACTCGGTCGTGACGATGGACGCCGCAATAAGCAGCGAGATGCCCGTGTAGTCGACGCACGCAAAGATGCTGATGGCATCTACGTCGGCAACGGCGTTCATGGTGTGCCAGATAGTCGAGCATACCAGCGTCAGGCACGCCGTGAAGAAGAAGACGGCGGCAACAAAGATGTCCGTCTTGGTGCTGAACTGGAAGTTGATGTTGCGAGGGTAAAAGTAGAGGGCGACGGCGAGAACAATGAAGAGGCCAATGGCGTGGGACCAAATGTTGACCAGCTCGTTCGAGGGGCGGAAGGCCGACCAGATGCACTCGAGCTTGGACTCTGTAAAGCGATATCCATCACGGATATGAGGGTTGATGCGCCAGGGCATGGGGAGGTCGTCGTAGGTGATGAGTTTCGTCTCCCTGGCCCGCGCGACCGCGTGGGCAATCTTTTCCTCCAAATTCTCAGCGGCGCGCATGGCTCTCTCGATACCCTCGTCGACGACCTCCCGCGCGAGCCCGATGCTCTCGTCCACAACTCTTCGGCCCTCGTTCATGAAGGCACTTGCCGTGTCGGCGGCATTGGCGAGGCCTTGCTCGCGCAGCTTGTGCGCCTTGTTCTCAAACTCGGTGAGCATGTCGTCCAGGAGCTCGATGCCGACGCGGGCCTTCTCGTTCAGGGATTCGGCCGAGGCCAGGGCGCCCTGGTACCGGGCCTCGAGTGTCTCCACCATGATGTGCAGGCGTCTGCGTCCGGCGCCGAGGACCTCCTCCGAGGCAGACGAGCAGCGAGCGCGGACGGTCTGAAGGGTGGAAAAGGCGCGGGATATGCTCGAGTCGAACGTGAGCTCGCCGTAGTTTTCGAGGAATTCGAGGCGTCGTTCCAATTCGGTCAGGAAGAGGTCGACCTGTGGAGGAGTTTTGTCAGCATGCTTCTCCCCTTATGTTCGGACAAGTTCTTGTCACAATGCCTCTGTAAAAAGAGGAACGCAGCCCCGAACGACAGCCGACGTTTGTAATTGCAAGTGAGCATACCTTTAGTAGCAGGTGCTCCTCGCCATCCATGATTTGGTTAACAATGGACTTGCGTCTGGGAATAAAGTGGGAGTGTCGTCTTTTCCGAGCAACTTCGGAGCCTTCAGTCTGAGCTCCCGAGGCGGTGGCAGTGGTGAAGTCGTCGTCGTCCTGGATGGCGGCGCCGCTGCAAGGTGACTTAAGGGAAGCCATGTTGGCAATGGGTTCCATAACTCAACCAAACAGGAAGACAGAAATAGGTATCAACAGAAGCACCTCGGGTATGCTTCAGAGAAAACAAGGTTCGGAGTAGGGGGGCTCGGCGGTATAGACCGCAGCCAGGTAAAAGGTTGGTGGGATTCCGGAATGTTGAACTATGTCGGTCTCGCCTTCGTTTGGATTTACACGTGCAAGTGTGGTCCCGCAGCTATGGTTTTGGTTGTGTTACACTGAAGATATGCGGTGTTTTGGTGAAAGGGAGTGTGGTCGTGTTGTGGTTTGTAGATTTGCGGGACGAGTCGATGTTTACGGATAAGCCCACGAGCGGGAGGCGATGGCAATTATTGGCTTATACACCCAACGGGAGGGGAGGGGCCTTGGCGTAAAGGGCGGGCGGTGGAAGGGTGGAGGGAGCGTGGGAGGGATGAGCAGGAGGAGGAGGAGGGGAACGGGGACAGGAATGCAGGTGTGTGAAACTCAGACAGGACAGAGACCGAAAAGAAGGGACCGTAGAAAGCAGCTGCTTTCTCCAGGAAATAAAAAAGCGTTCTAAGTCTGTTGAGGTAGTTGAGCGGCGGGCGGATCTCAACAATGCGGGAATCGGATTGGCCGGGGCGTAAGGACGGAGAGGAGCAGGCCGCAGATCGACAGAACAGCTGGACCCTGGTGCCTTTCTTGGGGGGAAGGTCAAGGGGGGGACCTTTGGAAGGATGGGATCGGATGGCGAAATGCAGTACAGAGAGACTTTTGGGTGCTTGTCTTGCGAGGAAACAAGAACGAAAGCTCCTCGGATCGGATCCTTTTTGCACGTGCGTTTGGTTTTTGCAAAAAAAAAAAAAAAAAAAAAAGAAGAACAGTAAGCAGA